ACTGTGACGGTAAGCTGTTTTGTAGTATTTATTTGATTGCTTATTGTTAGTATCGAATGAGGTTTGAAGACATCATATCTATTTTCATCACACATATCTATTTTCAATAGATTTATGCATTTTAAAGCACTTCCGTATCTTTTCTTCTTCTAAAGTTCATTTCAACTTAATAATAATATTAGCAGCGTTCTTGTTTCAGGGTACATACCTGTATTCTGGAGGCATCAATATGGGTCAGCTGAACGAAACTGATCAAGAGGAAATGAAAAAATACCTCGAAGAATTAGACAAGTTTGAGGATGTAAGCAAACCTATTCAACGATTTACAAACCTCAGAATTTCTTCAAACATTCCTTTAGAAAGTTGAGATTCAAGATGAGAAGATTATTTACATATTCGCAAAAAATGTTGAAAGAATTTTTGCTTTGAAGGCTCAACGTTCACTCTTCGTTGAAGACTATCACTTTGGAGACGAACCAAACCAAGAGCATGTGCCACCAAAACACTTAAGACCGTCGTTCTGCAATATCACTCACGTTTATATTGATGGATGTGAAGTGGTGGTAATTCTTTGCTTGTTCTTATCGATTAAGATTTCCAATCAACACCTCAATCAACCCTCGAGAGCCGATTCAACCCAATCCCATGATATCGTACATTTAAAGTTTCTGACAGAGTTATTTCTTTGAAGAAAGTCATACTTGTTAATCATCAATAGACGACTATAAACTTCCGTTAATGCCGAAAATGCCTTCTTGGAGTTTCAATCTTCGGAAACCAACTGACAATTTAATGTAATGATCGCCAAACTTTAGGAAACGCTTACATTCATGTTGAAATTATCTTTAGGTGTTCCGAACATGCATATTTCGAATATTGAACATTACATGTAAATATCAGTTGAGCAAATCACAAAATTGATGATGTTTTCAGCAAGGTAAAGTCTACATCGAGCAGCTGTTCGTTCGCGATCTTACGTCGGAAGAGCTGGAAGCAATGGAAGTCTTTATGCGCCAAGCAAAAGCCTATTACATGTATCGCAAACGACTATATAGCGAAGTATCATTATTTCATTCGCTCAAAATTCGACAGTTATTGATTTGACACGATGATATCGTATCATATTGATGATCAAGAATGACTGATCAAAAATAATCGAAATTTGTTTTTACAGTAATGTTGACGAATAAGCGTTTTGTACAGTTGGAGCAATTTAGAAGGATAGATTCGAAGGAGACGACGGCGAGTCAAGTGAAAGCATTTCGAAAGTGCCAAGACCGAAGAATCCGAAAGTCTGCTTCAATCTCTGAAATACGACAATGAGGACATAGCGTGGATATCATCTCGTTTTGTGAATGTATCGAATGCATTCGAATAAAGTTGTGATTCATTATTGATGAAGAGTGTGAAGATAAAGGCAGTCTGATTGGAACAGTCATCATTGAATAATTCACAACAATCCAAATTTTCTCCTGTTCCTGAACTCTATTTCTGCGCAGTTAAAGAGTTCTCGAGGAGCATATTATTGCCTTTCTCGCAGTTCTTAACGGTTCTGAAACGTACATTTGAAGAGATCTCAGCACAGAGCTCAAAGCTTGGCTTAAGAAGAGCATGAAGCTTATGTTCTATGAATTAGTTTAGTTCAGTGGATAAAATGTATGACGAAATACAATACCATCGCCCATGTACGTCAAATTTAGCGGAGCAGTTATGATTAGAT